AATTCTTTGACGATACATTTCATTGCTGGCGAATCGAGACCCAGATTTTTATCATGTATCGCGATTTTTTCAAGTTGGCCATTAAGAATTGCAATATCTATTAATATATTAGCAATATACCACCTTTTGAGGGTTAGTCACAGGCATTTTAAATCTTTTTTTATCTAAGCATCGCCGTTGAACTTTGTTTAATGTTCAAATCAAGTTTGTTGAACTCATCATAATAATAATGAAAGGCATTGATGTGTTATTTAGTGTAGTGAAGTAAATAAGAACTTGCTTGGGTCACATCCCCTCTAACTGACAAGGGTTTTCATACTTCAACGATTTATTGGATGATCTGCAAGACTTATAAAAAGGTCTTAATGCATTCAGATTTTGAGAATCCCGAATGTCGGTTTTGATTTTTCATACATCTATTAACTAGTTGCTCGCATCGTTAGCTAGTTAAAAGTATTGTGCAGGTTGGTGGATCTGCTTATATGAATCAGCCCAGTCACTGGATATTGGAGTCTCATTTAATTTTAAAGCCTATGTAGTCTTTTTTGTCATTTAGTGATGCTTATACTTAAGCCAACAATGAACACTTCTCATTTATTTTTGTGCCTTGTCAGATGAAGACTGTGAAATGTCTTGTAAACGGGAAATCAAGCTCCAGGCCTCTCCCGGGGAATTCGAAAGGGCCAAGCAAATCGGCATCCATGTTGATGAAAATAACAAAATGGAGTATGTATTTCCATTTAAAATGTCATTTGTATTGTATTATCGGCCTTTTTCGTTATGACGATTTATTTAAAATAATTCCCTCAAACTGCTTCCTCTTAATCATATCGTCATTTTTTGCATCATATAATCTTTGCTCCTATTCCTATTTTACCTATATCCATTTTTTGATGAAAATTTCAAGCAATTTGTGTTCTCATCTGCTACAGGTTGAGTGAAGACGGTGAACTATTTGTAACCAGTCTCAAGAATATGTTAGATACGCAATTTGAACATTTTGGTCAACAAAATGACCATCTCCTAGGAATGTGGGCTGGGCCTGAGCACTGGCGAAAAAAGGCAAAACGCCCCAAACTGGCACCTGCCGGGCCATCAGGTCCGGGAGTGGACGAGGAATTTGCTCCTGGTGGGTACACGTCTTTATTTCATTTTCAATGGTCATCTTACTAAATCATATGACGCATGCTTCTCAAATTTTCTCTTATTTGCCATACAGGATTTCTAGTTTCATAAAAATCAATAAATTTCTTGGGCTTTCCCTCTAGCCGACTTAGAATTACTAGACTTGAGATTGTGATCACATAATGGCAAAGTTAAAAGATCTATTATCATT